GACAGTTTATGGGGTCATGTCGGACCGTTTTTGTAATAGTTAGGCCAAGTTTGGGAAGACTAAAAAAGTGCACTTTTTGTCTTTTTGGACTAAAAAATTGAGGTTGAAAATATGGATGTTTGGGTTAACTTTTTGACTTTTTATTGAAAAATGTGTAATAAAAAATTGTAAAAATTAATTTATAGGGAAAAATTTGAATTGGGAGTTGTGCAGCCGTAATTGTTGACTTTTGGTGAATAGTATTAACTTTTTAGCTTTTTGAGTAACTTTTTGGCTTTTTGACTTTTTTGGATCTTCCCAAACTTGGCCTTAATATGAATTTAGGTAAACTATAGGTTTTGAATGATGGAGGTTTATTTTTGTGTGATTTATTTATTTTAAACTGTAAGTTATTGGCCGTTGTTTTTGTGGGGATGTGGTTTGGAAATACTCTTTTGATCTACTGGGACGCTCGAGATCCTTAGCTAACAACCTAAAAAGGAATAAACACTCCGGTCGGGGGTGTCGGAATTAGCACTCCGACGGTTAAGTCAGTGTACGCTCTCTTAGTTACTTGTATCTTAAGTTAAGCGTAATAATTCTCACATACCTTTCATTGGCTGATGTTCTCCTATTTATATCTTCTTCTTTTGGGCTTTATGTTTTTTTGGACGCACCTTTGGTCCATTGCACGTTTATTTATTCGGTCTTTGTTTGATTGGTTAAAATGCCGATTATAATATTTGACTTTATGGTCGACCAACTAGATCATAGCCGAATATATTCTCCTTCCTGGGCTGTCTTCATCCAGATACTCGGCCTTATTGAACGCCGTTATTCGGCATGTTTGGTTTCATACAGCATATTTACTCGAGTTTGAGAATCCAGAGGGACAGCGGCTAAACTTATCTCAACGTGTGTCAGAACACACGTTTTCTAAGCACCATTACATATTCCCGCCTCTTCGTACGCTCTCTTCATTTATTATGATTTGAAACTTTGTTGTCTCTTCGAGTGCATGCTTTTTGAATATTCGAACCTCCTGGACTGTCAGTCGATATACCTACTCCGTCTTGCGTCCTCTGCAACTTCCCTCCGTCTCTCATTTTCTCCTCTGCTTCTTGTAAGTTCTCTTTCATTTTCTTCTTGAATCCTATTTCCTTGCTTATTTTTAGTTTAGCGTACTCCTTAGACTTGCTAGGATGGCTAAGCATTTAAAAGACCTCCTTTCTGCGGATCGTATTACTAGGTTTCGACGCCATTTTTGTATACCTTATGATGTCCATTTATCCCTCATGACAGACAACACTCTTGATATGGAGAGGGCTAATGAGAGTACAGTCATCTTTCCTCTTCTGTCAATTGCAGAGGGCGGGGTCCGTTTTTCCTTACACCCATTTCTTAAGGCCGTCCTTCGCCATTGGGGTTTGATCCCTTCCCAACCTAATGTAAACTTTTTCCGAATCGTAATGGGGATCATAGAGTTAAACCGGCACCTTAGGATCAACCTTGGCATTCGCGTTATTCAGCACTGTTATGCTTTGGCCAAATCCTCCGGTCAGCAAAGGGGCTATTTTCTCAGGGCCAATGACACTGATAATCACTTGGTAACTATGCTTGCCAGCTCTGGCAAGCGGGTTGATGATGTAATGGTCATTGTCCGAGGTAATTGGGAATTTGGCAAGGACGAAGACTGCCTTGACCCTATACCTAGACGGAGAGGCGAACCAGGTTGCCACGTAGCTTCTTTCACTTATTTAATCTTCATTTACTCGGCTTTCTCTCTAAGTAATCTTTTTATTTGTGCAGGCAACCATTTGAACGCGGTTCTTGCGAAAATCAAAACCGCGCTCTAGTTTTTTGGCCGTCTCAATATCCAGAAACAGGGGAGAGCCGCCCATATACTTCTGAGGTATGAGCCAACTTATAAAACATTCTCGGCCGCGGAAAATATCCCGATTCCACGTAGTGAACAACATCTCACGGCTCTCATCTTCCCTCGCTTCAAAAGTCTTAGGCAGATCAGTTTCGAAGCTTCTGATTCGGACCAAGCCGAAGAGCCAGTCGCCGAGGAGATCGCTGAATAGCCGAGCCAGTTTGCTCTAGAAGCTGAAGTCGACGAGGCTCTTAACTCGGCGTTTGAAGTAGCAGGCCTTAATTAGGACAACCTTCCCTCCACTTCAGGTCGGGGGGAAGTTTTTTTTGAAGATATATATTTTGGTTTGGGAGATCTCCCTGGCTCCTATTCGGAGGACATGACTGGGGAAACGCTCTCGCAAATGGCACGAAGGAAAAACGCCGAACGGATGGCCGCCCGACGAAGAGCCGAGACCATCTGTTCCGAACCTCCGACTGAATCTCTTGAGCCTATTATTATAAAAGAAATGACCGAAATTGAGGTGACCGAGACAGTGCAAGAATTCGAACGGCAAAGCCAAGATCAGAGGGGGGAGAAACGTTCCGCCGAGAGCGAAGTCGGCGCTGAGGAAAATCTCATTGACAAACGGCCGCGCTTAGAGGAGTCAGATGTGGTTGCGCCTTTTGTTGTTCAGCCGAAGATAAAAAACGTGTCGAGCTCCTTTGATGCGTCGGCCTTGAAAGATCCAGCCGTGGCGTTGATCTTGGCTTCCTCGGTATCATTGCCGGCTGATAAGGCAGCCTTTCGGGCGGAGCCGGACTTGCTGGCAATAACATTAGTCGCTTAATCGGCTTTCTGGTATGTGACTTGATCCTAATTTCCGCTTTCTACGTATATTGTTTTGGTTTGGTTTTGTTTTGATTTAAACTGTTTGGCAGACGGTTGGAAGGATAGCCAAAATAGGCCGCCGCCAGCATGATGCCATTGGACAAATTGGCCGTTTGAAATCAGAAGTTGAGGGTGAGAGGAGCAGGGCCGAGTTTGAGGCGGCGAGAGCAACTATGGAAAGTGCAAAGGCCAAAGCCGAGGCGGAAAGGGCGCGAAGTTGTGACTAGCTCAAATTGGCCGTCGAGGAGAGGGCAAATGCAAGCGAAGGTTCGCTCAACTTAGCTAAGGAGGTGATTGTCAAACTGGAGGCCGAATTGGAAGAGTCGAAGAAAGCGAAGGAAATAGCCGACTCCGAGGCTTCCAAAGCGTTCGAGGCTGGGAAGAGTGCTGCCCTTGCAAATTATGTAGAAGAAGTCCCTAA